GGAGCGGCAGATGGGGAAGCCGTTGCAACGGATGACATGTTTTAGGAATTTTGTATCACCGCCGCTGACGACGGAGGTCGAGTGGGGAATTATATTTACAGGAGATTGAGTATCGGAGGATTGGGTGACAGCGGTGATGGTTGGCCCGGCCTTGCCCTTCGACCGGGGTAGGGGGGGGGGGGGGGGGAGGGAGGAAGGGAGGGACTGAGAGCCGGTGAAGGAAGAAGATGTAATGTAGTGGAGGGAATGTGAGGAGGATAGGTAAGGTATGAAGATGGAAAGGGAAGAGGGAAAGTAATAGTTGATAGACAGCCCAGTTACCTTGGCGAATTTCCTTTCCGGGAATAAATTCTTAAAGGAAGAAGTTGGGTTGGGTTGGTTTGGTTTGGTTGCGCGGTCTGTTCGTGATGAATGAATGGTTGTTTACTCACTGAGCGGTTGCTGGACAACGGAGCACAGGACGACAGCGGGACGATCGATACGCGACGCCTCGAGCGGATTAACCGACTCCTATTGCCGTAAAAAAGAAGGGGTGCACCGAGCGACACAGAAGAAGAAAAGCGGGAAAAAGTGCGATAAAAATTGAAGAGAATGGAGGAGTACGTCGCCGGAGTCAAGTTGGAGAGAGACTGTTCGGTGATGTTTACAATCAACAGCCGTCGACAGTGTGTCGTGGGGGTACGGGCTGAGGGAAAGAGAGATAGTGGTTGGTGTGGAGAAGTGTAGGAGGGGGACGGAGGAGCAGGTAGGAAAAGGGGAAAGGGGTGTGGCTTGCTGCGAAAAACGCGCTCTCCCGTCTTCGTTTTCGGGTTGGGGGGGGTTTGGGGGGAGAGGAAGGTAGGTAGGATCGAGGAAGGGTAGGGCGGGCGGCGGTTGATAGAAAACGCAGACCTCCGAAGATGGATGGATGGCCGACCCTTTTCTCTTCTGAGCCCTGCTACCTTCGACTTCTTCTTCTTCTTTTCCTTAGGTTCAGATCCCCCCAGGGGTCCCGTTTGGAATTCTCTTTCTAATTTCTCACCTTTGTTTTCTCACTTGAATGGATTAATTGGTGGTGGATGTGTAGTATGTAGAGTGTTAATAAAACATGTAGTATGGCAGGCGGTACATACTAGTATGATGCAGTATAGAAACAGTAAGGAAGAATAAGAATAGCCACCTAGCACCCCCCGTTTCTTTATTTTTACCTCACTCACTACCAACTTTCTTGCTGGGTTCCAGCCCTGTGCCGTAGTAGCACCACCGTCGATTATGGCGTCGATGGTTGCTTGATGGTGATGATGCCAATACCACTACTGATCTTCAACTCTTCTCACCATTTCACTTTCACTCCTCCCTCACACTCACTCACTCACTCACTTGCCCATTCAACTCGATTCTCACGTCCCACACACACGCGCGTTCCCAAAACACACCACGCACACCACTGACTCGCTGTGATCTTGGTTGCCCTGCTGTTGCGGCTTAAGGGTCGGGTTGCTGCTCGGGGATTGGTGCTGCAGCACGGTCACCGCGTTTCCGATCCCCCAATCGCCAGCAAACACTTCGTCGCACAGCAAAACTGAGAAATAAAGAAAGCAAGCAGTGCTGTTTTTCTTTCTTTCTTTCTTTCTCCACTCACACTTTGAGCAGATGCAAGCGCAAGATAATACACGCCCAAATTGAGATAGTGTGTATGAAAGTATGTTGGTAAATACAATATAGCTGTGAACTTCTCACGAAGATTCTGGGGTCGGTCGTCTCGAGGGCCCAGATGGCCTAATACAAAATTAAAGGGACACCACTAGCGCGACCCATTAGTGCAAGCGGAAACGATGAGACAGCCGATACCCCTTCAGTCCTCTGAGACACCTTGAGGGGACTGAACTTCTTCGCTTTTGCTTGTGTTCAATTTCCTAAGCCCATCCAGGCTGATCAAACCACTCGACGGAAGAACGTGATTGACTTGACTGGATCATCTCTTTGACTGCAATTGATCTGAGTGGAAAACTCCGAGTGTTGAGAGCCAAAAGAAGAAGACACCTCTCAACAACATTGGCAGCATCATCACTACGATTCACGGTCAGCACTGCCAACGCCTATCGACTTCATCCCCACCATATGCATAACATTTGTTTCCTCTTCTTTTTCTTTCCCCCTCCCTAGCTACAACTTTTTTTCTTCACACCCCTCTTTCTTCTCCCCTCACCACCCAGCCGTACACGCATGATGCTGCATTCACATACTGCTGTACATGCCCTACCGGTATTATCACCGCAAGTACGTCCAATGGAATAGACTATATTCTCACTAATGCCGCCACATGCTCGCCCCTCCATGTCCCCACAGTTAATGCAATGCAATGCCCGCGTCTCGCTAAAGCTGCCAAACCTCCCTCAGCCCTTGTTAACCACATCTCATCGCCGTGATATAAACGAGAAAATTAGCACGTAAAAATTATTTCCCTTTCTCGAAACGTATTGATCCTGTCCTCTACTAGACCAGACCAGACCAGACCAGACCAGAGGGAGAAAAGGAAAAACCGTAAACTAGGAAAAAAGCCAGACTAGGTACTACTCTAACGGCCTCGTATGCAATTCGACTATCGTGCATACAGTAGTCCCTTGCTTGGCCCTTCGGCAAGGCATTTAAATTTCGGATCCACGGCTAATGTACATACTGGCCTCACTGCACCGTTTAAGCGGAATTGATCCCGGCCGCCGCCTTAATACAAGATATAAGAGGCTTTTCGTGTAATTTTTAGTAGTGCACACATGTCCTTTAGAGAAACAACCTCAACCCCCCCCCTCCTTCAACCCCTTCCCTTCCTCTCTTCCCCGTATGTCTCATAGGATGTGCATCGAGTTTTTCGATTTTTCGAATTGTACCCTACTTGTATCCCAATGTTTATTCACACCACACCCCAATTGCTTGAAGACCAGACCAACATCCATCCCATGCCCGGCTGACTCTCCTCAATCCGAAACAGGTGTGTCAGATGGTCTTGATTATGCGAGGGCTGGGTTTGATGAAAGACCATGAATATCACAAATCTTCCTTCCTTATGGAGATGGAGAAACTAGTTAACTTATAGCGGCGGCAGCGGCCCCTTCCTAAAATAAATTTTAAACTCAGTTGCTTTCCTTCTACACACCCCCCCCCCCCCCCCCCGCTATATAGTTGCCTGGCGAACTTTACTCTGCACTTGCGGGCATATACATTGGCTTCTTGGCTGGGCTGGGCTGGGTTTATTCTGCTGCTGCAGTCTCTTCCAAAACTGCAGACTGCAAGTAAACTCATCCATGGTGGTGATGATTACAAACACGTCTGCATACCATCCCATATCTACCGGGATTCTCATGTTCTACACTGCATTTTTAGGATCGGCCCCTGCTCTCTACCTTTTCCAAAACAAAAGAGGAAAGATTCTAGAGGATCTCCCGTTCCGTGCAAGAGCATTAGCCGAACTTTTGTTTGTTTGTTCAACTCCCCGTTTGCGTCGTGCAGTTGGCCGGAGGCTCAATCTGCATCTGCCCGTCCCGATGTCGATGTCGATGTCGATGTCGTTCCCCGGAACTGGAGCGGGAGGTCAAACGAACGGGTGTTTGTTTTTTCTGATAGCTAACACGGCTGTGTTTGGCTCTTTCATCTGTAGTTGGCTATGCTAAAAGCACAATTGGCTGAGCCGAGTATGATTGCCTATCTGCTAGATACTGAAAGTCAAGGGCCCAGGTTGCATATTTTGGGAGGCGCCGTAGGTTAACATACATGCGGCGCGCACACAAGGAACAAAGAAGTCTCCAAGAAGACCGGGTCCAACGATATAGCATCGGCCCATCAGTGATACCTCGATCCGGCAAATCTTTTTCTTTGACAGATCTAGATGAGCTACCAGGTTTATCGAGGCTCCCCTTCTTCTAATCGTAAGCTTCGATCAGAGGTTGGGCCGATTGATTGGATGTTGCTGGGTCACCCATTGCTAAAGCAGGGATGGATATGGATCGTAGAGTTTATATCGTCGGGATATAGGATGTTGGCATTGGAGGGTTAAAGACAAAACATTTAGAACCTGACGTACGTACGTGGAGAGATGTAAGACTTGCATTGCACCGAGGGCAGCGAGGCGGTTAACGTTGCATTGCTTTGCTTTGCTTCAACATCACGATCAGCTGTCCTGACGTGTCGTCGATAGGTGGGTGAGACCTTGTGAAGCCACGGTACATGTGATGTACCTAGAGTATCATTGATTAGACATCGATATAGGTCCACTGGCAATCCAATCACTGTCCGATATAGGGATGCGACAATTGCACTTCATATTCCTTCCAATATCAATATTAATATCCAATATTCCAATATTCCAATATCCAATATCCCCTATATAACCTATCACACAAAACCACCTACTCCTTCCAATATCCAATATCACCCCCGCAATACCACATCGTCCCAATCCCTTACGTCGTTCCCCTTTACTCTCATCAAATTAACAAACAAGCTATCAAACCCGGATATAGCTTTACATACAATCACCGGTCTGTACCATTAAAGGGCGGAATACAAATCTCGTTTCGAGAAAGTTTGTTTGTATATAGAGTTTTCTCATTACCGAGTTTCAGCTTTTACTGATCTAGAGAGCACCCCCCCCCCCCAACCAAACCCCTGCACCAGCTCAAACAAAACACGCGTTAATATTTGTCTGTTATCGCGTTTGTATTAGGTAGCGCGTTTATTCTTACGATTGGTTCCGGAGGAAATGATACGCGATCAGTCCCCCGACTACGTACCAGTACCACGTTATTGCGCGGCGGAGTAGTACCTAATGAGAAATTAGATACATGCAGAGCAGTGGCACCTGAAAAGATTTCTCCTACTCTCATGGCGCCTGTAAGTCTATTAATTGTGTCCTATGCAAAGGGTAAAAAAAAAACACGAAAAATTATTTTAGCAACACCCCGTTTCGATCGGGGGACCTCCGGGTTATGAGCCCGGCGCGCTTCCGCTGCGCCATGTTGCTTGAGTGAATCAGCCGGGAATCGAACCCGGGTCGGGCGCAATTCATAAGAATGGCAAGCGCCCGTGATACCCCTACACCACTGAATCATGTTTGTGCGGTGGCCCGGGTAGTTTATGAGCCATATAAAACACTAGCTTGGTAAATCTTGCTTACATAATATCAGTCTCATGATATCAGTTTCATGAATTATCACTCGACATATCTCTTTGAAGAACCATCCTATTAGCTATAACAACCGTTTTGTATGCATGTACCGAATGATTTATCATGATTACGCAACTGACAGCCACAAATTAAAAAATATCATTATGAGATATAATATATCGCACCCCTGTATTATCTTGATCCAATTTACCTTAAGATTATTTTCTCCTGGTTGCGTTGCCAAAGATTTGATGCCCGGATTGTCCGAATCCGCTTCTCTTCTGGGTTAATGGCGAACCTGATCACGATTCAATGGCAGGTACGAGTTTACTGGCTAATCAAGCCCGCAAAACATCACCGGGTGTCCTGGGCTGAGTGGTAGGTTTCGATTGACTCTGTATACAGTAGGTTCGCTATTGACCCGGGAAACGCTATTACCGAGTTAGCATAAATTCGCTTGTTATTATTATTACTGCATATGTGTAACCTATTCACATGTACTTGAAAATATTGTAAGCCTGAATTGATAAATACAAGGAGAAAAACCATCTTTGGCCTTTATAACCCTTAAAACCCTTGATTGCCGCATTTGAACTGAAGCGATATAGTACGAAAAAACGGGAAGAAGTATCACTACTGTAAGACTACGAAATTTGGTGAAGAATATGGAATTAAACCGGCGCTACAAAATGCATACCATAGTAATACGGTATTGTTGCTGCACTAATGAATAACGTAACGAATCCATACCTTTTTTAGTACTATAGTTAGAATATATTGATACGGATCTACACCAATAAATCTTTTATAATCTAGTACTTTTGTCGAGATTGATTGTTCATAACGCTTAAGTTGGAAATAGCTCATATCCCGCGCCTTTATCCCCTATACTGGACCGAGCAACAGCTAACTAACAGAGGTCACAGCGTAATTTTTGGACCCTAGCGACACCCGCAAAGAAACGCTGCCCAAGGAACCACGGGACTCAAAAGCTTCCCTTGCAAGGATTTACCTTATTTAGAACACCGGTGGGTTATTTCTTTAGATTTTTTTTTTTTTTTGGTTTCAGGTAATTAAAATTGTCCCAATTAGATATTAATTGGTGAAGAAAAGTCTTTTGTTAGCATTATTGTGAGAGAATCCGATTTTATCAGGCGACAGTTCCTTCGAATTATGTTACTTTTTGTTAAATTACGGACATAGAAGGAACTACCGTGACACATGACAGAGGTCATTTGGTGAACCGTTACTTTGATCGAGTGATAGCCCATGATTAATTATCACGGACAGCACATGTACCTCAGACATCCGAGTACTTGAATTTACTTTTAGCTACTGAAATTAAAAGAACTAAACAAGTAAGAGTAATTTCATTGGGCCTCGATCAGGCCATGATAGATTTTCTCGAGCTTTAGACCCACATACTCGGGTCAGATTCCTTAACAACGCTTTGACATTTGACTAATCAAATATGTGTACTTCAGGCATCTGTACAAGTTCCTAGCCATTCTGAGCTTACTTTCAAGTCATAGATGTAAGCTCTGGCATGTGAGTGATGGCCCGTGTTTGTGGTTAAACCTTGAAACTAACGGCCTGAGGTTTGGTTTCAGGTACACGTACACTACTTATTTCCAGAAGATTCTCAGGAAACACGAATTACATACATGTATCATATCGGTAGGAGATGCCCTTAGTAGATTCTTGTGCATATATGTAAATCTTATGTGCGTATGGGATGTTGTGGTCATCTTGAAAAGTATATTGATATGGTTTCTCGGACTTGCCACCTCCGAATACCCGGGCCTCAAGTTTTGTGAAGGGATCGAAATAAGGTTAATCCTGCGATTCTAACTGATGGAACGGTGTTGCTAATTCGAGACCAGCAGCGTTGGAACTGCACTTGCACGCCTGACGGATTTTCTTGATAAACGTGTTCATTCCCATAACACGGCAAATGAAGTCCTGTCGTCAGCCAAGCAATTATATTTTTATTGCCCTATGGGCAGTTCATTCCCCCGCAGTACGCACAGTCATTTCTGCCAGTACCATTGACTTGTTTGAATCTATAGGTGGCTATGCCGACACGAGGTCATGACAGGTGGTTAGTACAGTCAAGGTCACAATTATATATCTGCGAAAACCATTGTCTCGTCTCCCCCTCTCAGACCAATCGAGTTACCTTTTATGTTTCAACCCCACTTTTGAACTCAATCCATTAGGTACATCGGCCGATGTATCACTACTATCATAAGCTCGAGTACAGCTGATTCCTCGCTATCGGATCGTGCCCGCCGAACCCTTGAATTCAACCACTATCGGAGATATCAATAAAATATCACGAGAACATTATCATTCATACATGGTGATACCTCTTACCTCACCAAGACCTGTTGAAGCCCCCATCAAATATCGGAGATATCTCCATTTCTACCACCCTGGGTTATTGATGCAAGTTGCTCTAGTGGGGGTGGGGTGCAGTTCGTATCAACTTGCTGGTTGTTGCCTCTCTTATTAGCAGGCAGTGTTTCCTTCGGGGACTTCTTCGGGGGCTTTGGGTTACTTGATGTCATGATGTCAAATATAACCAGGCTTTGACAAGACAAGAGTTCAGGATACGGTCTTGGCAATGTGGTTATTTTCTGGCTTGCCATCCAATAGAAACTCATGGGAAATCACTCGCTTGCCCGGAGCGGCCAGCGAGAACCCGAAAAGATCTTTTTTGTTCTGATTTGTCTTGATATAGAAGTCCCGCCATTGAATCCCTGCCTTAAATAGTTGCACTTTCTTATTCTCTGTCCCTGCCCCGGGTACATGCGAGAAAGTCTCGTATAAGGACGGTACGAGCTGAGACGGGTTTAGGTCGATCGATCAACCCTCCCAAGATTAAGGTACAGTTGCGGACGGGTCATGGATGAACATATACAGGGAGCTAAAACCAATTGAATTCCGTGAAAATTGGGGGTTATCTGATCTATTTTGCACCTTGGCAGGTTCTTTGTCCTTACTAGGCTATGAGGTATGTTACCAATCCTTCCTCGTCATAAGCCTTATTCATGATCGACATTATCAACCAAGGCACCTACTATTTCGAGTAGCATTCTTAAGGCAGTGCAGAAATACTAAGGCAAGTACTAGTACCAAGGTCAGGGTCTATTAAGAAGTCATGCTCAGCCACTTGCAAATCCAGGTCTTACCAAGACTACCAAGATTTGCAGATCCCTAGACTACAACTCTTGGCCTTATATTGCGATTGGTCCCAATGCTTCTTACTGACAACAACGTGGAGGAGTCCAAGCTTTCGGCCGTGAATTCCTAAATTAAACCCACTCCGCCGATAGGTAGATCTTCTGAATGTCGCATTAAGTCTAAATAGCCATATGCATGCTGGTTCTTAATCCCCCGCCATCTGATTCGGATTTTTCTTTCGGGTATCTATGATTCATTATAGGTATATGCTTAGATTATACAGGGACTCCAATCTCTAATATACCCCCCACAATGCGCTTACTAAGAGGCTAGATATATGAAACATATCAAAGTGTGAGGATAACGTGGCTCTGCTACATGCCCTGCATATTATAGGCGATGATAGGCTTGATCTTGTGCTTTTCATTCCAGCCAGCTAGTTAGACCAAGGCGCCCCCGGGGCATTCACCAGATTTACGGAAACCTGGTAGGCAGAAAAACCCTTGATGCCTTAGTCACAGACATCAAATTGTTTATAATGGTCCACCAATAAACCGATTCAAAGAATTTACCAGGATTCTGGGCAATAGTAGCATGCCATATATGCTCAGCCAGTAATAAGGCAAATCTATGTATCCGGAATAATTTCTCTTGGCTCAATGATGTGTTCGAGCTTGGCAATATGTACCTATCAATTATCAACTCTTTTTATTTTCCCGTCAGCGGAGTTTACTCCGCCCACGCATGCGCACCAGGCTAGGTTCTATTACATGTACTCCAGCTACTTGTACGTGATATACATAGCTCATCCCATACAATTCATTGACTAAGCTAAAAAATATTACTACCAGAAGAGCGAGACCTATTTACAGACAACAAATCACAATAGAGACTAGAAACTAAAAATACTCTTTCGAAAACTTTTGGACATCCAGGTAATATTCCCTTCCCCATAGCCCAACCCAATCGTTAAGCCTTCCCATGTATGTACCATTTCTCCATAACCCTGCCAAGCTATGACGAGAATCTAGAAACCAAAAACTCAATAGTACGCCTTAACCTTTAGTAGAACCCCAATGAAAAAAAAAAAACGAAAAAAAAAAAGAGAAGGAGCGGGAAGGAACGAGTCTGGATTAAAGAGTGAAGTAAAGAAAAAGAAACTTTTAGCAATGACTATAGTGTGATCCAGCCCACATGCACCCAGTTATACGTTCACTGATGGGCTGTCTGGTCTCTCAGGCTCCTTGCCCTTCGCCTTCGCCGGTGATTCAAACCCTAACCCACTATCAGTTCTGACAGCATCGTGGGGCTTGTTCGCTCCAGGGTCTGTAATTTCGTAAACGCCCTGGCCCGGACGAAAGCTGTAGCGCTCGCCGAGAATTCTGTGATTCTCGGCGTGCTCGTCGCAGCAATCCCAGCTGCCGCTATCCCAACAGCTGCTCCCAGCTGTGTTCACGATCAGAACTGAGGGCGGTCTGCTGGTGATGCACTCGTCTACTAGCTGCCATGACCGTTGAGGTGCTGTAGCGGCTGGGGGTGCGGGTGGTCGCTGTAGTTTTGTCTCGGCCATCTCCTTCTCCTTCTCCTTCTCCTTTTGGTGTTGGCCCTTTTCCCAGCCTACGCGGAAGGCATACATGAATGCGGCAATGAGGAGGAGAATACCGAAACCGGCACCTACAGCAATGCCAGCAATTGCATTGGGGTGGAGGCCGCTGTGGCCATCATCTCCTTCCTCCTCTTCGCTATTAGTTTCTTC